TTACTTGCTTGAAGATATCTCTTTCCAAAGTGACAGGGTTACAAGTTTGAAGTCAGAATTCAGCAGCTGCAATAGTTTTTTTTAGTTAAGTAGTTGGAGGTTTCTTGTACAGGTGAACTGAGCAGAACAGATTCTGAGAAGTGGTGAAACTCCCATTATTTTGCTTTTACAGTATAGCATTTGTGGCCTTTGAGAGTCTGCTTCAATGCAGCAATCCTTTAGCTGCGTTACCTTTCTCCTTCTACCTGCTGAGACCCCTTCTACCTCTGGTGACTCTCAGCTACGCTTAGAGTTCTGTCAAAATGATTTCTCATAGCATATTTTATACAGATCAAAACTTAAGATGGCTACTGCGTTAACTTTGATGAATCGCTGTTCCACAAAGCAAAGTCAATTATGCTGTAATTTCCTGTTCTCTCAGGTGCATTTAATTCTCCCATCCTTTGAAAGACCTATTGTGTTACCCGGGGGTAATTGAATTCTAAATGTCTACATTTGTTGAAGCTCCGATAGCACTCTGCCTGTGTTTTTTTTTGGCTTCAGTGAATCAATAAGGACAGTGATGTGGTTCATGGGAGCACTTTGTAGGATTCTGTGTTCATGTTAACAGATTAGTAACCTTTACAAAATATCATACAAGTACACAGTCATGACAATAACTTAAGCTCCCTTTGGTCATCGGCCCAAAGCAAGGAAGCACAATGCAGATCTTTTAGATGCTCCCAGATGTGCCCAGCTTGGTCAGTATATATGGGATGTTGCAATGCACTCTACAAAGGAATCATGCCATTCAGATGGAAACTTGCAAATAGCAAAAAATGGTTGTTGCCTGGAAATAATACATACATTTATAAATTAAATTTATCTATTTAGCACCATGTTCTGCAGACACTTGCATAGTCTCTTCCAGGTTTATCTGGCCACTTCTGGAATATTTTGTCCAGTTCTGGTCGCCCGTTATAGGAAGGATGTTATTAAGCTCAAAAGGGTTCAGAAGAAATTTACCAGGATGTTGCCAGGTATGGAGTATAGAGATAAAGTAATGAAGTGTCTAATATCTATTTTTAAGTAATATGGTAATATTTAAGTAATATTTTTAAGCAAGCCATGGATTGTGAAGAAAATTCATTGCCCTGAAATGTTGCACAAGAACCCATTTTACATGCTGAATTGCAAACTAATTAAGACTCAAGTTAGACCTTATCTACTGAAGTGAAAGTGATGATATTATAAGTTTTTTAATTACCATAAAAAAACTTCACTGGCACTGAAAATTTACTATTATGAATATCATTCCTTCAGATTATAATTATTGTTGGAGATTTATTTATTTTTCTTTTGTTTGTCTCTTTGTCTCAATTCATCTTTCTTTATATTTCATTCCTGTACCTAATTTGACACTAAGGTATTCTAACTTGCACCTCCTGGTTCACTCTATGTCTCAGAGAAGATTCTTCAATCTGATTTGTTTGAAGAGACACGATGTTCCTTACCTTGTTTACGCATGTCCCTGCTTTGGATGCTAGCTGTGCTGTTTTGGCTGACAAATTACCTTAAGTTCTAGTGAAAATATCCACAGAAAACATAAGTGTAATGAATGACTAGTGCCATTCATTTGTCATCAACAGGAAACCCAGGGCCAATAATTAATTGCAATGAATTGTATTTTTGTAAAATGAACAATAGTATGGATACCAGAAATTTCAAGTGAAAACAAAAACAAAAATTGTTTGAAATACTGTCCAAGTCAGACAGCATGTGTGGAGAGAATCGGTGTTAACGTTTTAGGCCAAGATGAACTTTTGTCAGAACTGAAAATCACTCCACACATTGCTTGATGTATCTCTCACCTCCCTCACTTTCTCTTATGCACATTCCTTAAACTATTCAATCTGTGTATCCCCTTCCATGCACGTCCCCTCCCTTCCGCCCTCTGAAATACATACTTCTGTGCGTAGTCTTGGGAAAAATCTGCTCCCACAAATCATTTACAATAGGACTTACAAATTCCCAATTATGTAAGCATTGGCTTTCATTCACCATGACATTTCTGCAGCTCATTACATCCTTTCCTCCACCTTTGGCTCCACTGAAAGTATTATCCTTGGCCATCTTGTCATTCCATTGGTATGGTGCTTAACTCCATTTCCTGAAGTCCAAAAACTACAGATGACTAGTTTAGCTATTCATCATGGAGCACACATTGATGCTGTAGGGTTTTGTTCTCTTCTGTGGAAATTGCACACCATTCCAGGATCATCCTCAAATATAAAGTTAAACCCTGGTTTTCCTCCCTCACTACAAATATATTCTTAAACACTTTTGTATGTTCTCTACTCTAATCTCCAATGACAAGGCTAGAAGATGCTCATTGATTTCTTTGTCACTCAGATTCAGACTCTTCAATCAGCTGTCTGTGTTGTTTTCCTCCCTTCCCAAGCCCACCGAACCAAAATTCCCTTCTGTCCGAGCAAGTTTTTTGAATCTCCCTTTTTTTATATTATTTAATCTATTTTTCTGATCAGTCTGTTCAGAGATGTATTTACACACCTCAGGAGTAGATGGGGCTTGAACCCAGGTCTCTTGGCTCAGAGACAGGGACATTACCACTGCACCACAAGAGCTCCAGTTTTGTAACCTAATTGGGTTCACCTTGTTGCTCATGTGAAGTGCACCTCCGGCTCACTTAACTCGGATTCTATCAAGCTCCTAACTATTCAACTGTCTCCTCTTGCCTTGAGCCCAGTCCATGAAAGCTTGTACTATTCATTGTGTCTATAGCAATGTTTATCCCCATCCCTCTGAATAATGTTGATAGCATTAGGTGAATGGAGATTTCTCTGACAATTCCATCCCTCTTCCTCTCTATCTTGTTTTTTTCCCTTTCAGACTCTTCAAAACGTTCCTCTTTGACTACGGCATTTGATCGTCTGACTTAATATCTCCTTATGTGACCCCATGTCATACTCTGTTTTGTAAAGAGACTATATAAATATAGGTTGTTGTTGTTGGTTGCAGCACTGGAGAAGGTTACATGTGTGTGGAGAGATGAGGCAGTAGAGAAATTTGAGAGCAAGCTTGAGAATTCTGAAATTGATGTATTGTTTTACCTGGAACTAATACAGATTGGTGAGATGAGTTATGAGATGGGTGTTTGACAGCTAGTGCAATCTAGGCCACTGATAACAGAGCTTTGTCTAACACGTTCACAGAGACATGGGAGGTTATCACAAAATGCATTATGGTAGCTGAGGCTTGAGGTTGATGGTTTCAGCAGCTAAGACTAGGATGGAGTCAGACGATATTGCATCGAATGGAAAGAACAAGTTTAGTGGTGGATATGTGTTTGGAAATTCATCTGCGAGTTAAATATGACAGTAAGCTTTTGAAAAGTCTGGTTCAACTTAACTTAGTTGTTAGGGGGAGGATAGAGTGGTGGTGAGAGGGAGTTGGGGGGACTTGGGTGTTGATAGAGTTGTGGGGACAAAAGCCAATGGCTTCAGCCTTCTCCGTATTTACTTTGAGGAAGTTTCTACTCATTCAGAATTGGATTTTGGATTTAAAATCTGATGGTCTGGAGACAGTGGAGAGTCAAAAGAGGTGGGTGGTGTTGAGGTAGAACTGGGTGTTGACAGTGTCCATGTAAGAACTGATGCTGTGTTTTTGGATGATATTACCTAGGGTACTTGTAGATGAGAAAGTGCCAAGCAGGAAGGTGATTCAGAGGTAACTGTATGAGGCTAGGAAGAAAAGGCACTGCAAGTGATACACTGGATATATTTAGATAAATAAGAATTGGCACCAGGCAAATGCAGTTTCACCTAGGTGAGGGATAATGGAAAGATGCTGTTTGACTGAGAGAGTCATTTTTCTTACCTTGACTTGAGTGGAGCCCTGGCTTGGATGAATTCAAACATGAGTTCCAGGAAAGATGTGACAAGTGATAACATTTCAAAGATCTTGGAGAAGAAAAACATTGTTTTTTGTCATTTGCAAAAACAGTGGTCAGAGGTTTGTTTTTTTTTGAGGAAGGGGTGCTACCTGAGGGAATAGTATTGTTGACAATATCAGCTAATGGGTGCCAGCAGGCAGCAAAGTTGGATGGTCAGCAGCTAAGTGGAGATATGAGGGTCTCGTGAGCAAGATGTGTTTAGTGAGGATATGAGGGGAATTAGAAGGGAATCTTGAGAAAGATGCATGTTTATGGCTTGGGCATGGGAAGAAAGAACTTTGGCCTGGTGTGCTCGGGAAGGGAAAGAAATGGTAGCTGGATGGTTTGCATATGAAGCTGAGGGAGGAAAATAGTGAAGATAATGCGGTGAGAAAATCTTGAAATAATACTTGAAACATTAGAGAGTGAGGATTTTAAATGATAGGTGAAAGGGATAGAATAAGATGAAATACTCAAAGGAGAAATGCAATAAGAGCAAGGGAACTTAGCAAAGTTTGAATGGGTTAGATAAGCCACAACTCAATTGTATGAACATTTGGAACAGAGAAAAATACAGCAAGAAAACATGGTAAATTATAGTTTGATCACGACAATGTATCACTTTTTTTTACTATTTTATTATTGGACATTTGTACTGTAATTAACTCCAGAACTTTCACCAAAATAATCATGTCAGGCAGTGACGTTGAAGTATGGATAGCTTAAGCTACTGCTTCCCAAACCTTTTCCCACGGCAACCCCATTCTGAGGCTTGAAAACTGTCCTGACCCCACCGTGAGTAAAGGCCTCCTTTGGTTGATGTGCTGTTATTATTGGGGCAGCCATTGCTGCCCCAGAGCCCATGACCCCAAAATTTCAACTCATGATCTGACTTGGGCACCTAAACCCCACTTTGGGAAGTCCTGGCTCAAGCTCTTATTGTTTTCATTTTGCCTCGAGAAAAGAATATCCCATCCCTGTAACCTGCATTTTGGATGAAAGAGAAATGTTGTTTTACAAGTAAATAAGAGAGAGATAGTGACTAATGGCATGTCTGTGTTCTTTCCAGGTTGTTGCAGTATTTGGAGGAAATCAAACCAGTGACCATGGCACTGGGAACGGCGTGGAAACAGATGTCTTGGCTTTACTACCAGTATCTGTTGATTACCGCACTCTACATGTTAGAACCCTGGGAAAGGACCATATTCAGTATCCTTGTAAAGTGTGTGTGCGTGTGTCATTTTAAAAATTTTGTTATTTGAGAGCATGGTTGTCTGAGTTAACCATTCGTGCAAATGATGCTAGACCACACTTTTTGTAAAGTTTAAAAATGACTGGCAGGTTTGTACAAAATGTCTGCTTTCAGTGTGAAGCAAATATAATCATAGAAACATAGAATCCCTACAGTATGGAAACAGGCCATTCAGCCCATCAAGTCCACAGCAAATCTCTGAAGAGCATACCACTCCCCTACCCTATCCCTATAACCCTGCATTTCCCATGGCTAATCCTCCTAGCCTGCCCAACTCTGGATCTTTTCTGAATTAAACAGAAGCACAGAGGACAAGATTTCACAACCAATCAGTCAACTTATCTCATGCAATATAAATTGTTACTCCCTTTAAATTTGGTATTCTTGTTTCTGTCCTGATGCGTTCAAAATAAAAAGCTTCAACAGCATTCTCATTTTGGCATGATTCTTTGAAGAATACTTATGGAATGAGTTTTCACCTTTATTGAAATATTAGACATTGCAGAATAGTTGTATATCGACTGCTATAGCTGGAATTTTCCATCTATGTCCCATCAGCCACAAGCACAGCAGTGAGGTTGGAGAAGAAAGAGCTAGTGGTAATTTTAAATTTCAAATAATAGGAAACACCACCACTTGCAAGTTCCCCTCCAAGCCATTCACTATCCTGACTTGGAAATATATCATCATTCCTTCACTGTTGCTACATTATAATCTTGAAATTCCCTTCCTGCTGGCACTGTCGGGTCAACCTACAGCACCTGCAGCAGTTCAAGAATGTAACTCACCACCACCATCTCCACAGCAGCTAGGGATAGGGAGCAAATGCTGGCCTCATCAGTGATGTGCTCATCCCATGGATGAATTTAAAAAAAAATTCAGACTTCTGTGTTGTAAGAAACTGCTGTTATAATAGGATAGGTTAACAAAATCAGAATATATTATGTCTTAAGAAGCAAATTATAAACCATTGAACACATGACTCCAATGTTATTAATTCTTGTAAAAGACTAGTGCAAGCTATGGAAAATAAATTTGATAGCATATGCGAAATGCTGGGAGATGCAAATAGTACTAAAATAGAGAATAGTAAATTAGTACAAAGTGTCGGAGTAAGGGCAAAAGTAATGAAGTCTAAATCTAGGTATATTTTGTGAATGTATGGAATACAGTTAATAAGATTTGGGGTTACAGGCTTTTTGGGGTTAGGATGTGGTGATAATAGAGACCTAGTTTAAAGAAGGGCAAATTTGGTGTTAAATATTTCTAGTTACAAGATGTTCAGAAAACATTGGAAAGGAAGAAAAGGAGGAATTTGATGTTTTTCATTAAGGATAGTATTGCAGCCCCAGGAAAAGAGGATATTTCAGACAGTTCAAGGACAGAATTCATTTGGCTAGAGCTAAAGAATGAGAGGGATGCAGTTATACAACTGGGTGTAATGTGTAGGCCACCAGCTAGTGGGAAGGATATAGTGGAATGAATCTGCAAGTTATTTACAGAGATCCAAACATCATAGAATAGATACGAGAGGATGTTAAGCAATGTTCTAGCAGTGTACTTATTCAGAAGCTCTGTGCATGCTAATCATTGCGTTGATGCATAACTTCTGCTTCCGGAAGCTACTACTGCGTGCGGATCTCAGTAGGTGAAATTAAATGTAATGTTGATTTTAAGTACATGTTGACTGGGATAGTGGTAGTGTAAGGGTAGCAAGGAATGACTAGATTGTGCTGTGGGAAATTTTCCTGTTTAACAAGAAAGTAGGCACTGCTTGATCTGATTTTTTTTTGGGAATGAAGTGGGCCAAGTAGAACAAGTGATAGTGGGGGAATATTTCAAGGGTAATAATTATTGTATCATTACGTTTAGAATGTTGGTGAAAAATGACATGCATCAATTTTGGGGAGATGTTGGCCTATTGGAATTGTCACTGGGCTATTAATCCAGAGACCCAGGTAATGTTGTGGGGACCTTGGTTTGAATCCCACATGGCAGAAGGTGAAATTAGGAATCCAATGATGATCATGAAACCTGTTGTTGATTGTCAGTAGAACAACGGTTCCTTCGTGTCCTTTAGAGAAGGAAGCTGCTATCCTAACCAGGTCTAGCCTACATGTGATTGCAGACCAGGTAAGGATGAGATTTTCCTTCCTTAAAAGGCTGCAGACTGTTGAGATTTAACTGCCCTCTCGGCGATTAGGGATAGGTTGTAAGTGCTGGCCTGGGTACTGGAGGAACTGCACTTCTGTTATCTGTTTAGTCACTTTACAACCTTCTGACTTAACTGTTGAGCTCAACAACTTCAGACCGTGAATTCTGTCCTCATTTTGTATCCCCTCCTCCTTCCTCTTCCTCAATCTGAAGTGTCTGGTTTTCTTGGTTTTGCTGTCATTAGAATTGACCTATATTCTGCAATTTACATCTACTCTCGAACTAAATTCCCCCTTTACAACCCTTGCCACTTTCTATGTCTTTATTTGGTGACACCTGGAATCTTTCATCTCATCCAACCTCTAACTTTCCTCTGACACTCCTTTCTGTTCAACTTTTTCCTCCCACCTCTTTCTACAGTATAAATCCCATCACTTTTCCATCTCTCTTTACACTTTTGAAGGAGTTACACTTGACTCAGTTAACTGTTTGTCTCCATAGCCGTAGCCCTAACCCTAGCTCTCACAGACCAGCTGAGTTTTTAATCACTATTTTTGTTTCACTTTTTAATTTCAGATTTTAAGCACCTGCTGTTGAAAAGGTTTCCATTATGTTCTGATTTTTAATTTGAAGTGAGCTTTTGATTTGACATTATACTTAATCCGCTTAATTCTCACTCAGATAGTAAGAACTGCTGATGCTGGAGTCGGAGATAACACAGTGTAGAGCTGGAGGAGCACGGCAGGCCAGG